ATAATTAACTAACAATAACTAACAGTAATAAACTAACTATTAAAACCAGGACAGTGCTCCCTAAGAAAAATGCACTATTTCACCTATCTTCCAGTACGAAAGATATGAAAATAAGAAAAGAAGCGTTATCGAACGAATTCGTTGAATACCTGACGATAACAGGATGGCACGATTCGTCCAAGAGCGTCCTCTGTCTATTTATCGACTAAAATACTGAGAATTTGGCGGAATAGCCGCATAAAACGCGCATTACTCTTAACTTTTTCTCGCTCGCGAATTCGAGACCGGGGACCCCGAGGGCGCTAAACAAATCTATCCCCATCAGACGCAGAACAACGTTGCGATGCTCCAGGCAGCATCTTCCTTCCTCTCCCTACTGTTCTTTCCTCGGATTACATAAAGGATGACTCAGTGGAATTTCCGAAGGGCAGTTAGAACGATGATTATGGCCCGCGGCTAAGTTACAAGCCGATTATCGGCTACTTTGATCCCCTTTGCGCATTCCATTTCCAACTGCTTTGTACGCGTGTTACCCTCAACGAGAATTATCGATGTGACGCGATTTCGGTTTGACTGTTTCGGTTTGGGCGACGCATTTTAGTTGTAAAGATACTGGGAGGTTCTTAGAAGATACTGGGTCTTAGAATGCAAATTATAGCGAAAGGTTTAAACCTCTCTCGTTCAAATTTTAGTCGAACAAATTTTTTTTTAAAATTAATTCTTTACTCATAGGAGCTATAAGACCCAAAGAGTAATGTATTCTGGTGGTTCTTAGAAGACACTGGGTCTTAGAATGCAAATTATAGCGAAAGGTTTAAACCTCTCTCGTTCAAATTTTAGTCGAACAAATCTTTTTTTCAAATTAATTCTTTATTCATAAGAGGTATAAGACCCAACGAGTACTGTATTCTGGTGGTTCTTGGAATATACTGGGTCTTAGAATGCAAATTATAGCGAAAGGTTTAAACCTCTCTCGTTCAAACTTTAGTCGAACAAATTTTCTTTTCAAATTAATTCTTTATTCATAGGAGCTATAAGACCCAAAGAGTACTGTATTCTGGTGGTTCTTAGAAGACACTGGGCCTTAGAATGCAAATTATAGCGAAAGATTTAAACCTCTCTCGTTCAAATTTTAGTCGAGCAAATTTTCTTTTTAAATTAATTCTTTATTCATAAGAGGTATAAGACCCAAAGAGTACTGTATTTTCAATGACTTAAATTCTGAATCAAAGGCACCTACTTCACGAACAAGAAAATTGCAAAATGTAGAAATTTTTAGATTGAAAAACTAGGGTGTTCCTAATAGCGAAAGTTTAGAAACGTAGTCCTCTCAGCCATATAGCCTAGCAGAAAATGAGTACACGTGTAAACAAATACACATTATTTCAGCCGTCTCTCAAACCTCCAAACTTTCATTCAACTCATTTCGACACACTCGAAACTAAAAAACAACCGTTTAAAATTCAAACGTACGCAAGCGAAATTAAATATCCGGCAGACGTAAGCGGCGGCAGATGAACCATGAACAAATGGAGAGGGATGCTACCAGCATTGGCGTAACTAGCCAAGGATCAAAGGGTTCCACCCTCATAAAATACGGTCCTGGTCTCAAGGAAGGGGACTCAGCTTTTTCATATTAGAAACTTTAAATTTTATAAAATTAAAAATTTTTCTACTTGCAAATTTTTAAATTCTCAGATACTTCATTTTCCAAATCCTTCAATTTCCAATATCTCTAAATCCATAATTTTATAAATTCTCTAATCTTCTAAAATCTCCAAAATTCTTAACTCTGTCAATTGTTTAAATTTTCCGAATATCCTTCAACTTTGCAAATCCCAAATTCTCAAATCTACAGATACTTCATTTTCCAAATCCTTCAATTTCCAATATCTCTAAATCCATAATTTTATAAATTCTCTAATCTTCTAAAATCTTCAAAATTCTTAACTCTGTCAATTGTTTAAATTTTCCGAATATCCTTCAACTTTGCAAATCCCAAATTCTCAAATCTACAGATACTTCATTTTCCAAATCCTTCAATTTCCAATATCTCTAAATCCATAATTTTATAAATTCTCTAATCTTCTAAAATCTCCAAAATTCTTAACTCTGTCAATTGTTTAAATTTTCCGAATATCCTTCAACTTTGCAAATCCCAAATTCTCAAATCTACAGATACTTCATTTTCCAAATCCTTCAATTTCCAATATCTCTAAATCCATAATTTTATAAATTCTCTAATCTTCTAAAATCTCCAAAATTCTTAACTCTGTCAATTGTTTAAATTTTCCGAATATCCTTCAACTTTGCAAATCCCAAATTCTCAAATCTACAGATACTTCATTTTCCAAATCCTTCAATTTCCAATATCTCTAAATCCATAATTTTATAAATTCTCTAATCTTCTAAAATCTCCAAAATTCTTAACTCTGTCAATTGTTTAAATTTTCCGAATATCCTTCAACTTAGCAAATTCCCAAATAGTAGCCTTCATTCATAGTTCAGCACAAGCTTGTTAAGTTAACAACCTTGTTAACATTTAACAGAAAAAGTTGACAGTTAACACTTATTTATAATAATTAACATATAGATCGTTTAATAAGCCTTCATAGATCATAGGTTTGTCATAACCGATGCTGTCCGCAGAAATCGAAGTTACGCCAATGGACATCAGACGCCGAAGAGAGCAACGGACAGCGTCGGACGAAAATAAAAGGAAAGAGCTGTCCTTCGCGCGGGTAACGCGGGATATTAAAAACAAAAGTGGTCCGCGGAAGGGGTCGCAGCTTCATTTCGAACGTGATTCGAGCGGAACAGCGAAGAGGGTTGAAGTGCGTCACGCGGGCCGATTGTTCCGGCGTCGCGGTGCCATTGTTTCGCGCGCGTGTACACGCGTGTTCGCCGCGGAGACAAGTGCAGTCGGCGAAACCGCGACGTACTGACGCGTTCGTCAACGAAAATGGAGGAGGAAAAAATAGATAGAGCAGGAGAAACGATGGGCGGAATGAGACGAGCGGATAGAAAGAAGAGAAATGTTTACTGCAGATGCATATTCATGCGATGCTCTCATCCTGGTCCAAGTGACGCGGATTAATATGCATAAAATCCTTGCGTTACCTGCACGGCTTCTGCGAGACCGTGATGAATTTTTTACGGAAATTCTCTTCCGCGACTTTCGAAGAGGTTCGATTTTCTTAACTCTTGGTTTTATTTTATGGAAAGTGGTCTACAAAAATTATTGGGAGATAATCAAGTTATCTATTTTGTTATTTGTATCGTTGAAGGCTAGACAGGACATTTAACCTCACTTTATTTAATATGTGCGTCACACTATTTTCTGCTGAATGTTTCTTTTTTTGTTCAATTGCAGAAATATTTTTTAATTAACGTTTAGTGAAAGCTTTCTGAACTTGACTGTAATCCTAGAATGCTTGTTTAAATTTTGATTTGAAGGGGAGCATTGAATTTATTATTATTTTTTGATAATAGCTGTGAGATGTAAAACATTTGTAATACATTATTTTCAATATTGTAACGCAGAGAATATTTAAATTGAAGGAGTTATGTAAAGAAGCATTAAATTTAAATAAATACACGTTACGAATTTGTAACTAAATATTGTAAAACTCTGGTTACGATTTCCACGCTCGAGGTAATAAAATACGTGAATACATTTTGAAGGAAAATATACAAATAAAATACGCAAATACGGTAAAACGTAAATAAAATTTATCATCTCCTTCGATTCGTAACTCTTTATACAATGCCACGATAAATAAAATATAAAGTATAATAGTACAGTATGTATCAAATAACAAAAGGATTAAAAATTGCAAAATGTCACAAATATCGGAGGTAAAAATTGAAAACTGCGAAATGTTACAAATACCGAAAGTAAAAAATGAAAGACTTCAAACGTGTCCACTGAAAAATTAAAGGCTTTGTATCAAACACCGAAATCAAAAATTAAAACTTTGAAGTGTGACAAATATCAGAAATCAAAACTAAAAACATCAAATTATAACAAATATTAAAAATAAAAATGATAAATATATGAAAATATAACAAATGTCAAAAATAAAAATTAAAAAACATTAAAATAGAACAAACATCAAAAACAAAAATTAAAGACATCAAAATATGACAAATATTAAAAATAAAAATTATAAATACATGAAAATATAACAAATGCCAAAAATAAAAATTAAGAAACATCAAAATAGAACAAACATCAAAAACAAAAATTAAAGACATCAAAATATAACAAATATCAAAAATAAAAATTAAAGACATCAAAATATAACAAATACCAAAAATAAAAATTAAGAAACATCAAAATATAACAAACATCAAAAACAAAAATTAAAGACATTAAAATATAACAAATTTCAAAAATAAAAATCAAAAAACCTCAAAATATAACAAATATCAAAAATAAAAATTAAGAAACCTCAAAATATAACAAACATCAAAAATAAAAATTAAAGAACATCAAAATATAACAAATATCAAGAATAAAAATTAAAAAGTCTCCAAATATAACAAACATCAAAAATAAAAATTAGAAACATCAAAATATAACAAATATCAAAAACAAAAATTAAAAAACCTCAAAATATAACAAACATCAAAAACAAAAATTAGGAAACATCAAAATATAACAAATACCAAAAATAAAAATTAAAAAACCTCAAAATATAACAAACATCAAAAATAAAAATTGAAGACATCAAAATATAACAAATATCAAAAAATAAAAATGAAGACATAAAAATCAAATACTAGAAATAAAGAATGACCTTATACTTTGGCATGTGACATGTGGAGCGACACGACACGTGAACTGGCATATCAATTTCATCTCGCAGGTGCATAATAGAAAATGTATGATAGAAAATTTAATTACAATACGATCGATACAGATCGCTGCGGGTAATACGCTTTTAGGCAACAATGTCTTACCGTCGCTACTATATTGAATTTAATAATGTACTCACCGAGAACGACGAGCTTCACAGGCCTGCCGGCTAGTATCTCTCCTTGATCATTCTCGATCGTGCAGCTCCATATACCATCGTCTTCCAATCTGACGTTGTCTATATGCAATTCGGCCGTGATAGAGTCTCCGATATATCTGTGGCCAGTTCCGCTCATCTCCGTTTTCGTGTTGATTGTAATCATATCCACCGGACTTCCGTCGTGTAGCCATGTCGCTGGTCGTGTTCTGTAGCTCCTAACCAGATAATTCGTACCAATTAGAGAATTAACTCCACAATACCATACTGTGTTCCCGCCTCAATTCCTTACTCAAACTGTTCGGACACGATTTTAAATCCCCAAGAAAAATCATAATCGTTCGAACATCTGTCAGCAACATTTCACGACAGAAATAATGGAGAACTGGGTCCATTAACTACGATTAACTTGTCTGTACAAACTTTTCCTTTAATTAAGAACCCTAATCTCTTCTATCGCCTTCGATACATTACGTCCCTCCGGAGAATCGAAAGAAACGGGAAACCAATAAAGCAATATATTCTCCGCGAACTTATTCTCTTGCCACATTTATTAGGTTGATCGGGAAATTTTGTTTTGAAGTTATACTTTGTTTCTTGTGGGCGAACGCTATATTACTGAATTAATGGATATTTGATGGCTGGAGACATTAGTGCACTATGGTAACAAATAGACTTAGAGATTCATAGGTAGATGTCTGTACGTTTAAGTATCTGGACACATAGAGACTTGGACGCGTAAATAATTAGATACTTAGATACCCAGGTACCTGGACATTTACATAGGTAAATTTTTAAACACATGGATACCTAAATACCCAGCTAGATCAGCTGTAGATAGTCTAAACACATAGATGTCCAGGTACTCAGATAGCTACATTCCTAGGCACATAAATGCATATACACCAAGATATCCAAATACATAGATATCTAAAAACTTGGATACCCAGATACTAAGAAGTCTAGGTACCTCAAATAGATACGTTAAATGCACAAAATCTAGCATAAGTCATATGTACCAATAAGTCTACCCAAATAGACACCCAGATGTCTACCTTGTCAACAATCTATCCAAAGATAAAATATGTACTGCCCAAATAAAAAGAGAGCAAATCACGGTAGGACAGGGTTTCCGTTTGTCGATAAAGAAGCCGAAATTACCTTGTTGCCCCAGGTAGCAGTAGCCTCGAGTAATTTGCTTCAAGCTCGCACGGCAGTATGAGCTTGCTGTGAAATTTCACCATCATTTCCAAGGGTGGCTTTGACGGTGTGGCGGCTGTATCCAAGGATAGTGGAACGTTGGTTGTAGCGGAGGAGCTGGTAGACCATAAGTCCTCTTCGTGGGCTAAAAGGGCCGCGGGCTGCGCCACCTCGTCCGACAGAGAAATCAACGTCGAGCTGGACGTTGTTGTACTGGTCGTGCTCGTCGTTGTTCTTCTGCCTCGTCGTCCACCCTCTTGTCTACCACGGAGGGTGAAAACGCCGGCCTCGTTCACAGACCCTGTAACAACCGCCATACACGTCGTGATTGAGACGTTGTTCTTGTCGGTGAACGTTCAAAGGTTCGAATGCTTCGTGGGATTCCAAGAACGATTTATCTTCATTTTTGGTACTAACTTTCGCACAATTACGAGCGACGCGGTGATCATTGCTTGATTTATGAGAATAGTTTGTTGAATTTTACGTAGTTGTTGAATTTTAGTTCTTAAATTTTATTAATAATGTTAAAGGTAGAAATGTAGATGTCAAAGTAATATATAGAGTGATTACTCGTTTGGAGTCTGCAGATCATTGCAGGATCGGATCATCAGCTTTTATGCTAGATGAATATATCTCACATTAAATATACACATACTCATAAACAGTTAGAAATGTCGCATTGTGTTTACACCTTTCATTTATGTCATAAAATACATATTCTTTTTGTACGAAATTTATTTAGTAAGAGACTGTTCCAGCTTCCCTTTATTAAACCGTAATTAAATAAGCAAAATTGAACCTGCTCGTCATCTTGATCGAATTTTAATCATCGAGCTAACTTTCAATAATACGGGATGCAACAGAAGCTTAATACAAGTCACCTGAAGCTTCCTCCGATGACGCTAATAATGTAACTGCACCTCGAACGCCCCGTAACGATACCGTGCCTAATCAAATTGTCGAATTTGATCATGTAAACGCGCCGACGGGAGCTGACAAAGCGGCAAAATAAATTTACATGGCACAAGGCAGTTCTTAATTAAACGATGTTTCGAACGCTTGGCCGATCCTTCCGAAAACTGTCTATCAGGCTAGCCGAGACCCGAGGAAAACTAATTATGACTTCGATGGACCGCAAATGGCTATAACTATCCGACGCAACTAAGGCGCCTTGTCGACCCGCGTCTAACTCACCCTTCCATTCTCGGTAAACTGTGGAAGAAGCTATTTTTTATTGCTCAACAAACAACCGCCAAGTCGAACAATCTTCGGTCCCCTAACATCGCGAACTAACGCAGCCGCTCTGCTAAAAGCATTATTCTCCTGTTCTTCTCGCACGGTGTACAGTCTGCGCCAAATATCGCTTTCGTAGGAAAAATGTGGCAGTTCTGAAGTTAGAGGGTGAGTCATTTGGCACTTCTTGGGGGTTCCTAGGGATTTTTAAGAGATTTTTCAAGATTTCTTGGGTTTTTAGGGATTTTTCAAGGTTTCTGGGATTTTTAGAGATATTTCAAGGTTCCTGGAATGTTTTGGGGATTTTTCAAGGCTACTGGGGTGTTTTGAGAATTTCAAGGTTTCTTGGATTTTTAAGGATTTTTCAAGGTTACTGGGATATTTCAAGGTTCCTGGAATGTTTTGGGGATTTTTTAAGGTTACTGGGGTGTTTTGGGAATTTCAAGGTTTCTTGGATTTTTAGGGATTTTTCAAGGTTACTGGGATGTTTTGGGAATTTCAAGGTTTCTTGGATGTTTAGGGATTTTTCAAGGTTACTGGGATGTTTTGGGAATTTCAAGGTTTCTTGGATGTTTAGGAATTTTTCAAAGTTACTGGGATGTTTGGGGATTTTTTAAGATTATTGGGGTGTTTAGGGATTTTTCAAGGTTTCTTAGATTTTTAGGGATTTTTCAAGGTTACTGAGATGTTTCAATGTTTTTGGAATTTTTAGAGATATTTCAAGGTTCCTGGAATGTTTTGGGGATTTTTCAAGGTTTTTGGGATTTTTAGGGTTTAAACGTTAGGCACAGGTTAAGAATTTGTGGACCCAGCATTCGAGGATTTTGGGATTTGTGAAATTATGGATACGGAAATATAGGAATTTGGAGATATAAAAATTTGATAACTTAGCAATTTAGGGATTAGATATTTGGATATTTAGAGACACTTGGACATCTAATTGTGAATCAAGAAAGAGATCTAGTGATTCAAGAATTTAGACATACATAATTAGAGACATAGAAATTTGGTGAGCTGAAAATTTACATCACCAAATAGGTACTTGTGGATTTAGGAATATCACCAGGAACATTTCAACCAAAAGCTGTGTAAACCCAACAAGATTATCCAACAGTACCCAACAGTGATCTTAACCCCATAAATAACCACATAAAGACCCATAAATCCACATAATCTAACATCCATATAATCAAGTTGACTATACAGTAGCATGTTCCTCCGTTTTATAAAATCTAACCCGGTGTTCGTGTCGCAGAGTCAGAACGGATCCGAACGACAACGTGCTTTCACTTTCCGTTACGGCGACGTGTTCAGATACAGATCGTGGTATGTTGACATCCATTGATCATGACATGAATAATGAATGGATACACCGACTGAATAATGCATGCATCAATGTCGAACAACATTCACTCGATGCCAGTGTATAACCGGTCGCGCACATACCAACAGGAACACGTTGATGAACTCGGATCGTTCGAATCGTATCACGATCGTGTTACGAACTTCTTTTATAACCCTCGCTTTTTGCTGTTCACTTTATGGAACTGCAGAATGTTTGACTATTGCGTTACAAGTGTTATTGCTCGGGGGAACACTGGGACTCGTTTTAGATTTCATAGTTTAAGTTAGAGGTTAAGTTTCAAAGATTAGGACATGAAAGAGTATGGACGTAATTAATGATGGCAATGTCAGTTTTATGAAATTTAGAACTCTGAATGATTTTTTAAATATTGCAATCTTGTGCCTAAGCGGAGGCACCACTGCTAACTCTGATTAAGTCTAACAAGGTTTCTGATTCTAACAAGGGTCTTTCTTACAAGGGTTTCTTTAATTTTGACGCTGTTTGCCAGAAATTTGACTCACAACCCCTGGACTCGCTTTCTCTATTTGATGAGGTGGGGTCTCAACCGTAGTTTCCTAATTTCTTGAAGTCTACAAGGACCAATTACATATCATCCCCTTCTAGTGTGTCCATAAAGTGCAACCCTAGAGCCAGAATGAAGTTGGTCCCTATCATGGTCATATGTTTGACAACATCCTTAAAATCAAAATCCTTGCTGAGACCTATTTCTGAAATAGGTGTCAGCGAGATATCTGAAAGCACCCTCTGAATACAACTTTATGAAACTACAAAAAATAGACAACAGCTGATTTCTAAACCGAACCCTCACATCAGCTGCAACTCAACAAAAAACTGACAGTTAATAAATGACTCGAAGAAAATTTCAGAATCATAAAGTCCTGCTAATCTAAGCTTCTTTTAAAATGCGACAATTGCGCGGGGATTTGTAAGGATCGCACAGGGAGTACAGTGACAGGAAATAGGGGATCGCAACTAGGTTACAACCAGGTTGATTAATGAAAGATTCTAGCAGCGTGGACACAGAGTTTATCGATGTTGCGTGGAACGACCCAGAATTTATCGGTGTCGGTGGTCGACGAGGTGTATTTGTCAACGAAACGCTCTGCGACCCGGAAATCCTTGCTGCTCACCTTCTTGACTTGGAATTCAGTCGACACGACCCAAAATTTATACCACGCTGCCGACCCGAAATTTATTCGATACCGGTTACACCGATTCGAAATTTATCGATAACGAGTTTCACCATCCAAAATTTATTCTGTTTGGGTTATCGGCCCTTGAAATTTATCTGTATCGTATACTCTCACCTCGGATACATGGATTCCGAGATCAAGAAACATTATTCTCGGTTTCCCTCGTGTGTGTTCGGATACTTCCGAAATTAGGAGATTCGCTAATACATAGGTCGAAAATTTAGAAGTTGTTGAAGATAATTCAGAAGTGAAAATTGAAAGATAAAATTTGTAGAAACATATTCAAATTTGAGTATAATTAAAATTTGAGTAGTAAAGTTGAAAACATGAACTTCATATAAAAATATGAAGTTTGAGTGATTGACTAATTTAAAAATAAATTAGAATAATTTAGAAATAGATTATTTTATCTTGCATTTTCAAACTAAATTACTGTAATCGTAATTCGAGTTCAAGTATCAAAAACGCTATCGTTCGCAATAAAATCGCATTGTAGGAAAATGAAGATGTTGAAGATAATTCAGAAGTGAAAATTGAAAGATAAAATTTGTAGAAGCATATTCAAATTTGAGTATAATTAAAATTTGAGAAGTAAAGTTGAAAACATGAACTTCATATAAAAATATGAAGCTTGAGTGACTGACTAATTTAAAAATAAATTAGAATAATTTAGAAATAGATTATTTTATTGTCTTGCATTTTCAAACTAAATTACTGTAATCGTAATTCGAGTTCAAGTATCAAAAACGCTATCGTTCGCAATAAAATCGCATTGTAGGAAAATGAAGATGTTGAAGATAATTCAGAAGTGAAAATTGAAAGATAAAATTTGTAGAAGCATATTCAAATTTGAGTATAATTAAAAAAAGAAGTATGATTAAAATTTGAGAAGTAAAGTCGAAAACACGAACTTCATATAAAAATATGAAGTTTCAGTGACTGATAAATTAGAATAATTTAGAAATAGATTATTTTATTGTCTTGCATTTGAAATTACTGTAATCGTAATTCTAATTTGAGTTCAAGTCCCAAAAACGCTATCGTTCGCAATAAAATCGCATTGTAGGAAAATGAAGATGTTGAAGATAATTCAGAAGTGAAAATTGAAAGATAAAATTTGTAGAAACATATTCAAATTTGAGTATAATTAAAATTTGAGTAGTAAAGTTGAAAACATGAACTTCATATAAAAATATGAAGTTTGAGTGATTGACTAATTTAAAAATAAATTAGAATAATTTAGAAATAGATTATTTTATTGTCTTGCATTTTCAAACTAAATTACTGTAATCGTAATTTGAGTTCAAGTCCCAAAAACGCTATCGTTCGCAATAAAATCGCATTGTAGGAAAATAAGAGAGATCAAAGATAAAAGCGACAAGTTATCGCAAGTTTCTTGCGCGTTTCGCGATAACCGGTGTTACCTGGCGAAGAAAAAAGGTAGGAAAGGGGCGAACGAGGTGACGGGACGTGACGTCCTTATGCCGGCAGGTTCGCATGTATGCATGC